TTACAGTTATAGTTTCATATGAAACAATGATTCTATATTTTGGATGTTGTTAAGAAACTTTCTTCTAGACTAGATACATTGCAATAATGTGGCATTATAGAAAATTCACCCAGAATCAATTTGATTCCAGGTGTTCTCAAAAAATTGACTAATTGTCTCTGAATCTATATATAGACAGAGACATCATGCAGACTGATGGTGTTAATTTGTTGAATCGAAGCTATATATCTGCATATTTCTTGCAAGAGATGTTGTTCATATTTCCTTTGTTGGATAACTTGTTTAAAGTGAATGTGTGTAGTTAGTGTTACGGAAAGAATACCTGTGAGTGGATAATGGCATATGCTCTTTCATAGATATACTGCTAGGCTATCTCCTGTGTCAGGTGGCATGTTTTTGGGGGCCGTTGCGTTGGGTGATGGGCTGAATGGCAGATTGCTTGTTGGGAAAATGTTAATTGTCAAATGAAAATATGAAAGTGCTCATCCTGGAAAGAATTTTTTTTTTTTAAAGAAAAAATTAAAATTTATTTTTAGGTTTTTCTAATAGGCATAATTTATTAGTGCAATTATTGAATATTTTTAATACCAGTATTAAAAAATAAAAATTAACTTTTATTTAAATAACTATCAAATTAAAATGATCTGTGGGGCATTAGATGATGAATTACCTTGGATGGTTGGAGAGGAACATGATGGATCAACTCTACATGTAGACGATCTTATCCCTTCAGCAACTTAAACCCTTTGCTTCTAGAGAGACTTGCAGCACTTTTAGTCCTTCTGCACTCAAGGGTGGATCATCAGTTCTGCTTGCATTTCTGTTTTAGTTCCTCATTGAAGACTCGTCAACGATACAAAAAAATTAACAGAAACATGCATCCTTTGTAAATGGTAGATCAAGAAATTGTATGGCCGAGAAAGTTCCTAGTGCAGACCTTTTCCTAGTACAAAATTTCAACTGTGCAGTGTAAAAATCTACGAAAATTCTCTTTGTTTTCTCCCCCTTATTCTGCAGGTTCCACCTCACCATCTCCCCAAATCAGACCTCTTTCTTTGACTTATAAGGCTGCAGAAACATGGGCTAAAATTTGGGCTTTGTATGGGCTAGTCTATCAACCAAAATGATCATTTTTTTACTTACGAGGAATAGGCCTAAACCAACAGCTTTTGGGCAATTTTTAGTTTCTCTCAGATGGGTTTGAGGTTACTTTTCTAGTAATACGTTGGCTTGGGTTGGGTAATGAATGAGAAAGGTATGTTGGGTTTGTTTTAGTCGCAAAATAAGGCTTTATAAGGGATAAATGAAATATAGTTTAGATTGTATATTAAAAATATAATTTATTTAATAAATTTATTAAAATATTTTAA